GATTCTCTTTTTATTTGAATGCATCGAAAAGTAGTCACTGTGTTGCATATATCTGAAATAACCAATAATGCGCTTATGAAGTTTTCGAAATGAAACTTCAAAGTATTTCCTTATATTGATTTATCAATATTTTTAGAACTTCTCAGTCAACGCAATGCTTGTACTTCATCGAGTGAACGTTGCACCCTCACCCTGGAACTTGCCCTGTGCTACTGTGAACAGAGCGATTTTTCTGCAGCCATTGAGGAATATAAAGCTTTGCTGGTCTACCTTGAAGCAGGCACTGACCGGCTCAAGACCGCACTTTGCTATCGCTCTCTGTCGGAATGCTTCTTAGAATTGTCAGACTTCAATGAGGCTATTCGATACGCCAGTATGTACCTGAAGACAACACGAGAACTTCATAATCTTCTGGAACAACAGCGCGCATTCGTCACCGTAGGAAGATGCTTTCTTTGTCGTTCGGATAATCTCAAGAATGGCGAACTTGGCCGTAAAAGCCTTATGGCTGCACAACAAGCTCTTATTAATAGTATAAAGTGCATATCTTCACTGAAAGAGCTTTCGGCCACAGAGGCAGCCGAAATGAAGGGCGTTTCATTGCTCAACTTGGGTATTTCCACCTTCACGTTGCTCTTAACTTCTTATTTGCACATTGGTTGACTGGGAACCTTCTACTTCTATATATCTTTATAAATGCAACCTTTGATTTTGTATTAGTACATCAGTTAATGCCCTGCTCCATAAGCAGTCTTTTTTTTCTAAAATTAGTTCACAATCATCCACCTTTCGTCTAACGAACTTTGAAGAACATAAGGAATTCAAAAATTTGTTCCATTTAGCAAAGTTTAATTGGAAATGGTGTCCATAGTGCATTAAAGTAATTGGTCGCACTGTGAATAAATAAAGACAAATTGATTAACTGTTGGTTACCACTCGTTTAAAGCGTTTATTTCCTTGTCATTTGCAGGACAAGTTTTGCGTTCACTTGGACAAACGGAGTCTGCTAGGGAACGCTTTGAACAGTGCATTAACTTGGCACGAAAATATTCTTTACTGAAGATCCTATTTCGCTCTGTCTATCAACACGCCGAACTGTCTCTGTTCTCTTGGCCATGTTTTCGAAGACAGATACTCAGGCCTTCCGAGTTGCTTACAGTCACAGATAAAGGTTATATTGATAATGCCATCGCCCTTTGCAGGTAGGAAATACGTCGTTAGACGGCATCCGTTAAATTTTTAGTAAAACCTTGAGGTCGTATCCCGCGCGTTCTTGCCTAGACAAAGAGGTGAAAATGTTAAGACAGAATTTAGAAGAACTTTTGGGACAGGTACTTTTACTTTCTATGAATTTACAGATTTTAAGCTCTATTTGGCAGTTGGTGACTGCAAACGTTCGGCAAAAATTTACAAACGTCTTTCTTTGGCTTACCCTCAGACTTCAGTGACCTACAGGTCTGTTTGCAGAAAAGGTCGGTTTTCTTTCATTTGTTATTTCTTCACAGCCCTAAAAATGCATAGTTTATTAACAAGGAGCCAGCAATTTATATCGACAACGGCGGAGGATCTTTTGCAAGTGTCCCGCCTCTATGAATCCCTTGGTGATATCTATTCTTCCTTGGAACTGCACGGTCCAGCCTTACGACACTATCAGCAAATGGTTAGCGCTGTTAAAAATTTCCTTCCATATTCACTCCATGGTCCTTGTAAATTGTTTTATCTCAATCCTAATAGATGTTTTTGCACTGCTACCTTGCACGTCCCCTCCCATCGGCAAGCAAGAGAAACAAACACGAAAATTATATCATTGCTACGTCTATTTCAAGGTGAGGGGAAATGTTGGGAGGACAGAAGATTGGTCTATAGTTTGGAATGTGTATAGTTAAGATATGTGTTGTCCCAGTTCCTCGGAGGTCTAGAGTGGGCTAGGGAGGTAAATTGAAAGAGTGCTAAGTGTGGACATGCGTTTTCATTCACGCAGTTAACGTTTGCTTTCCATGCGAATTTCGGACTACATGTATGAGGTTTGAGGCTCATTAGTTTCCCTAATTCCCAATTCAGATTTTGGATAAAAGTTTAATACGCAATTCAGTGGTGATAAAAAGGGTTTATTTACTGTCGCTTCCTTATCACCATGTTTCGATTTTGTTACCAAAC